ATTTTTTAGTTATTCTAAATTTTATTGTACGATTTATTTTTTCACTTTAAAATTTTTTATCGGATTTAATAAAGTTGAGTCTCATACTTTTTTAATTAAAAATAAAAAATATTTTATCTAAGTTTTCTAACTAATTATTTTAGTAACATATCTTTTGTAGCATTAGAATTACAAATTCATCAACGTAATTCACAAGATCAATTTTTATGTAAGAGGTAGTGAATTTTTCTTTTGAATAAATTTTAAGATGTAATTATATTAAAACTTAAGAACCTATTATTCCCTTTATGTCTCTATATTTTTGTTTTTTATGTGTACAACATATTTTGATTAAAAGATTCACAAATAATATTTATCTTAAATCTTAATAGAGTAAAACCACTTAAATGTAATTAACATAAATCAATGTTGAAGAGTTTTGGTCCAACAATATTTTTATAATGAATTCAATTGCAATATGATTGGCCTGGTTGAATTTTTTTGGATTCAACTCCTTAAAAATAAGTTTTCTAAGAAATATAGATTTTAGTGCAATTATAAATTATAAGAATTCATAATATATTTTGTTACTTAGATTAACAGTATAACATATGAAAACACGAGATTTTCATTAACATTTTTTACACTTAATTTTGCATTTGTATTTATTAATATATAGTTTGTGCTGTTTATAATAGTAACAAGATATTCTCTTATTTTTAGATAAATAAAACACATCATTTATCAAAAAAATAAAATTTAAATAGAATAAATTTGTGATATAAATAATATTTCTTTCATCATCAAATAACTAAAAAAACAATAAAGCTAACATTTAAGTTTAAATTGTTAGGGTAAAAGGAACAATTTAATTCATCTTTACTATTGAGATTTTTCATATTTATTTTAAAATTTAAGTACAAAATAAAAAAAATTAATGATACAATATAAAATCGTATAATTAGTAAAATTTTATAAATTCTAATACTATCTAATTATAAAATTATTGCACAAAGCATGGATTTAAAAAATTAATAAAATATAAAAATTTATTTTGCATAATGACATAATAAAGAGATAAATCCAACATCATAAAAAAAATTAATTAATTAATACTGCAGTTTGTACAAATTAATAAAGTCTACAGCAACAAGTTGAACAAACTCATCAGAATTTTAAATGCCCAGGAGATAGAAGGCAACAAAATTTATAAATATATATATATATGTATATATATCTATAACATTTTGGAATGAATTAAAAATATAAATTTCCATGTTACTTGTTTGACAAAGATCAAAGAACCTGAAAAATTCTACTTCCCATTAAGTTTTGGCCACACTACTGTCACCGACCGACGGTACAGTGAGAGGTAATAACTGAAGAACAGGAGAGGTGACTTTATAAAGGACAATGAGTAGCTATGTTCATATATTTAGGATATATCAGAGTGCTGATGTTTACTTGAAGCAAACACATTTATTACGTTTAGAAAAAACAAAACTATTAATATTAAAATTATATTTTTTACATAAACTATAGTTAAAATATTTTCTTATAAATATTTTATTTATTATTATGTTTTATATTTAAAATATTGTTGATATTTAAAAAATATTATATTTATTTTTTATTTTTAAATAATTAATTACGTTTTATATGTAAAATATAATACTTATAAAAATAAAAAATTATCATTTATCAATGATTACATTTCTATAACAAAAATGTAATTATTAATATACATAACATTTTTTATTTATCAAATATTATATTTTTTAACATAAAACGTAATTAAAAGTATTAATAAAATTTATATTATAATATTATATTAATTATTACATTTTCAAATTAAAAATATTGTTTGCATACAAATATTTAATTTATTTTGTTATTATTTTAATTAATCTACTAGATGTTATATATAAAAAATTTAATGCTTTTGAAAATAAAAAAATTCAAAATCTGGATTTTCAATTATCTATTACGTTTATTATTTTAAACATATTGTTTTTATTATATGTAATCTACTACGTATTTAATTGTGTGGCTATGAATGCCCATTTTAGTTTTAAAATTAATTTTTATTTATCATATAATTACATTAATTTTTAAAGATAAAATAGATCAAAAAATTTTATTATTTAGGCAAAAAGTGAGACAAAATTAATTTTTCTCTTGGAATCTTAACAAACTATAGAGGGTGGTAAGTTTATGATTTCAAGCTATTTGGATATTATTAAGAATCTTAAAATATATTCAAAAATCAAATACCGTAAATTAAATATGAAAATTAAATTACGAAATTTAAAATTTCAAAGTAATCTAACTTTTTCTCAAACCAAATCTCTTTTATTATTTACTTCTTTTTTTCACAATGACAAATATAGATAAAAAAAACATATAGTATATTAAAAAGAAAAATAATATATGATTAATAATACATAAATGTTTACAATGAAATTTTAATTCAAATACTATAATTAACTATAAAAAATTAATATCTTTGAGTAGCTAAATTGTTATGGTATAGTCATCTGCAACAAATAAGTTTTGTAATTAATGTAGAAAATAATCGACAGATTAAAAACTTGTCACAGGTATCTTTGGGTTAGTATTATTCCAATTAATTTATTGACCGTTACTATTGTTTGTTTTGACTGTTTGTTGAATATCAAATTCTGTTTCTATCTTTCACACTTTATTAGTGAAGTTAATTCAGTTAAAGATGATGAGCATCAAAAATATTAATCATACCATGTTACCAATATGGAAAAGTAATGAAATTTGCCCACGTAGCCTTCATAAAATGCCTAATGAATAGCCAAACTTGCATTAGATTAGAGCTTCCCCGTTTCATTGGAATTATCATTGTGTATTTGCTTCATAATAACTTAATTATATAATTTTTAAGAGTATGAAAAATATGATTATATCTTCATTGTATTTTTGAGCTGTTTATATCGTACGTCTTTTTAAAAATGTCTTAAATCTTTAGCTGAAGTGCATTAGTAATTTAATTTTTTTTGTCTTAAATTAATTTTTTATGTGGTGAATCATGATAATTAATCATTCTTGAAGTAATTAAGTAGTTTATCTCTATATCTTCTTGTAAGAATTGAATAATTATAAAGTTCATTACTTACCTTTTATTATTTACTTATTTTTTTTTTTTGCACTGGTGAATACAGATAAAAAATATAGTATATTAAAAAGAAAAATAATGTGTAAGATTAATAATAAATTAAAGTTTATAATGAAATTTTATTTCAAATACTATAATTAATTAAAAAAATTTGATATCCATTACTAATTACGTAGACATGGTATAGTCATCTGCTACAAGTAAACTTGTAATTAATTTAGAAAATAATCAACAAATTAAAAATCTGTTATGAATATCTTTAGGTGGTAGATACGAGAGTGCCATATTTTATTGTTCATCTTTTATTGCTTGTTTTGACCGTTTGTTGGATATCATATTCTATTTTTTCCTTCATACTTAATTATTAAAGTTAATCAAGACAAAGATAATAAGTGAAGTATCTTTTTCTACATAAAAAAAATTAATAAAATACTAGAAAATTTAATCATATAATGTAATCATTTTGAACAAAATAATGAAATTTACCGACGAAGCCTTCATAAAAGGCTTAATGAATAGCCAAGCTTACCTTAGATTAAAGCTTCCCCATTTTAATGGTATTATTATTGTGTGCTAGTTTCATAATAACTTAATTATAGAATTTTCAAGTGTATGAAAAATATGACTATACCTTTATTGTAAATTTGAGTTGTTTGTATCATATATCTTTTTAACATGTCTCAATTCTTCACTCAAAGTGCATTACTAATTTAATTTTCTTTTTATGTGATGAATCATGATAATTAATCCAATTACTAATTAGTGAGCACGGGCAGATATTTTTAGGCCAGCTCTTTTGCTGTTTTAATTGTTTCTTAAAATGACTTAGGAATGATATGGTTTACCAATGAAAAATTCTTTTGGAATGGTTGTGAATTCCATTTATTGGAGATATAAAGGATGAAGCAATAGCTCCATAAACAAGGTGGAACTACAAAGGGTGTTTTAATAAAAAAATTTTATTATTTGGTATTTAATAAAAATAATTAATTGGAAAAAATATTTATATTTAAATTAATAAAAACATAAATTTATTTTTATAATCTTAATATCCAAAAATGTATTTATTTTATTTTTTTGGATGTACATATTTTATAAAATAATTAACATATATATTAACTAAATGTACATATATTATAATTTTGAATTTAGATTATTGAATGTTACGAAAACAAAAATAAGTTTCATTATTTTATTAATATATTGTAGTTTTTTCTCTAATTATTTTTAATATGGTATTGAAAATTTCCGGACAGATATTTGGGCTGTCTTCTATTACTTAGATATGAAAGGAAGAATGAAAAAAAAAAAAAAAGTCCCGAGAAAAAAGTAAGTCATGGGTCGCTTTCGTCGGTCACATGGCTTTTGTAGGCCAGTATGGAAGTTATTAAGGAAATAACAATGTTAAAAGAAAAAGAAGAAGACTTAGATGAATTTAAGTCTTCTTCTTTTCTCTACATTTTACATAACGATCATAAAACCAATCTTCAGCCATTAAACCTAAAAAAAAAAAAAGCAAAAACCCATTTCTGCTATCAGAAGCCGAGTGTTCTGTTAGTCTCTTTTGTTCGAATTTTCCAAATAGATAAGTGAACGTTCTTTGTTCAATTTCCAAGCTTTTTGATCATTTCAGTGCCAGCTTGATTTCTTTTTTCTTTTGGTCAAGAGTTTTAAGGTTGATTTCTACTCTGTTGGCTTTTTCTTCAACTCAAAAAGAGAAAAAAAAAGAAAAGGAAAAAACTTCAGTGGAATTTTGTTTGATTATACATTTCTTTCCTTGTAACTTCAAAAAGAAAGAAAAAAGCTACTCTTCAATATTTTCTTTCTCTTTAGTTCCCACTTTGTTTGTCATTTTCATCTAAAAAATACCAAAAAAAAACAAAGGTAGAGAAAAAAATCTAATCTTCAAATTTCTTTTCTTTGTTTTCAATGATCCGTCATGAATAAATCCTGGCAGATTTAGAACGCACCGAGCAAGGTAAATGCAACAACTTCTTCATTGCTTTCTCTTTATGCAAATAAAGTGTGTTTCTTACATTTTTTTTTATCTAATTTGCAATTTTGTCAGTGAAGCAGATCAGATCTGAAAAGGATTAGTTTTATTTCTCAGGCAAATTTCCTCTTGAAAGCTACGGATCTATTACTTCTATCTAGAACTGGTAAGGTTGGAATATTCATTTAACTTTTTTTTGTCAAAATTAAAAAAACAACAAAAAAAGTTGGTTGCAGTGGAGTAGAAAGGCGGATAATTTTTTTTTTTTGGGTTCTAGGGTCTTTTGATCTTGTGTTTTTGGAGCTTCTCTACTTGTGATGGGGAGCCGGAGTAGAGGAGAGAGGAAACGGTGCCGTTGGTGTGATAAGTGGTTGAGGGTGGCGTTTCTAGTGTTTATGGTCTTGGGTTTTGTTTTAAATTTAGAAGTTTCTATCAGTTTTTAGGAAGACTTGATATGATATGAGGAAAGGGAGGATCAAGAAGAAGACTTGGGTGAGTTTTGGGAAGGAAAACGGTGCCGTCGAGCGGCGTACGATGGCGGTGCTATTAAATGAAGTAGGGTAGTCAGAGAAGTTAGAAAATGAAGCAAATTGATTTTTTTTTACAAGGACATATTTTTTAAATAAATTCACGTAGGCGTAACCATGTGGTAATTGAGCATAGGCCATGTGTGAATATCAGTCTACCTATAATAGTGATCCTACAATTTTTTTTTTTACTTTAATGTTATAATTATCCAATCATAATAAAAAAAATCAATTTAAATTTTTTTATTATAATCTTAAAATTAATCAATTATAAAAAAAATTATATAAAGGTTCACCATTTATAAATGTGGATTTCACATGTTTTTTGTAAACCCTATAAAAATATTGAATTTTAATTGGTTAGTTGTTTTACAATAATTGGAGGTGGTGTGTTTCCAATAAAAAATTATGTATGTAAGGTTCGCCACTTATGTAAGTGTGTACTTCATATAAATTTTGATGTGCTTCATACAATTATATATTATAATTGGTTAATTGCACACTATAATTATTGTTAGTGATATGATTGCAGATGATATATTCCTATAGTAACTTCATCCAACATTTAACTCTAAATGGTATGATGATCAAAGAAACAAATCTTTATAATGTTGGTGACTAAATCATTACTTTTTATAGCTGGGTGTCCAAAATAAAAAATCAACTAAAATTGTTTGACCAAACAAGTAATTAATCGTTTTTAGACTGTTGCTTAACTGTTACAGTATGATACGATTTTTTTTGGTTTTCTATCCTATCAACACAAATTTTTTTATTTCATGTTTTCTGAGTAATGTTTCCTTATAAATTATCTAAAAATATTGCTTTTTATCACGTGTTTTCAGCTTAGTAGAGTGCTGAAGATGGCATTTGGTTCTCATACTTTGAATTGTCCTCACCTTGCCTCGTTACGCGCTTAAAAAGTGTTACTTGGCAGAAAACTGAAGAAAAAGCAGTTGGTTGTCACACTTTGGACTATCTTCACCTTGCTTGGTATGTTTAGAGAGTTCACCTTCATTATTCTTTAATTTTCTTTTTAGCATCTTCACCATGATTTATCTCAAGGCCAATATTTTTATGTTTGGCAGAAGTTTGTTCAACTTGAGCTTATCAAGAATGGGTTGTGGGTTTTGTGAGTCTGCTTTTTCTAACTGCGTGGGAACACTGCTTGTGGATTGGGTGGCGAAGTCAGTAGGACGTCAATTTAATTACATTTGCCATTTTCACCACAATGTTGAAAAGCTCAAGAAAAGAAAAGAAGATCTGAAAAAGGCACGGGATCGGCTGCAACATGACATTGAGGATGCTGAAAGGCAACTTCAAGAAATTGAAGATGATGTCAAAGATTTGCTATCACAGGCAGACATAATCCTATCTGATGAAACTCTGGAAAATGAAATGCAACGAAATATGAGATGTTTCATTTGGTGTCCTAACTGGAGTAGGCAGTATTGGTTAAGCAAGAAAGCAATGAAGAACACTCTTGTTATTGGTGAGCTTATTGAGAAGATTGCCAAGTTTAGTCAAACTGGACGAGTGGGCTACCGTTCACGTAGTACAAATCCGACCATAGAATTTCTCTCATCTAAGGATTTTATGGTTTTTGAATCTTCAACAAAAGGTTTCGATCAGATAATTGAAGCCTTACAGGATGACAAGGTCAGCATGATTGGATTGTGGGGGATGCCAGGGGTGGGCAAGACAACCCTAGTCCGAGAAGTTGGAATTCATGCCAAAAAATTAAATCTGTTTGACAAAGTTGCGATTGCTACTGTGTCTCAAAAGCCAAACTTTGAAACAATTCAAGATGAAATTGCAAAATACTTGGATTTCGATATGAAGAATGGCCAAGGAAGAAGATCAATCCAAGAGTTCTGGTTGAAACTGCAGAAGGAGAAAAGGATTCTAATAATCCTTGATGATGTTTGGGCAAAAATTGACTTAAAGGAGCAGATAGGAATTCCATTTGCTGATGATCATAAAGGCTGCAAAATTCTTTTAACAACACGGCGTCAACATGTATGTTTTGCCATGGAATGTCAAAAGACAATATTTCTTGGTTGTCTGGATGACCATGAAGCTTGGACTTTATTTGAAAGGAAAGCAAGTCTAGATAACTCTTCTGATGACGCTATTAAACATGTGGCATCTAAAGTTATCAAAAAGTGTCAGGGTTTGCCCATAGCTATAGTTACATTGGGAAGTGCTCTAAAAGGGAAAAATCTTCATAGGTGGGAAGCAGCATATAGGAGACTCGAAAACCGCAGATTGGATGACATAGAGGACATTGATGAAAAAAATGCTTACCTAGTTCTTGAGGTGAGTTTTGATTATTTGAATGATAAGGAGACCAAGATGTGTTTCTTGTTGTGCTCTTTATTTCCTGAAGATTATGAGATTTATGTAGAGGAGCTGGTGAGATATGCATGGGGACTAGAGTTGTGTAAAGGAATGGGCTCAATTGAAGTAGTGAGGAGCGAAGTGCTTGCAGCGATGGACATCCTCAAGGATTCTTGTTTGTTGTTAAATTGTGGAGAAAGGCATGTTAAAATGCATGACCTGGTTCGTGACGTTGCTTTGTGGATAGCATCAAACAGAAAGGAGTTCTCTTTTAAGATAAAATCTGACGTTGTTGAAATGTGGCCAAAAGATGAAAGTTTTGAGCCTTTCGAAGCAGTCTCCTTCAAGACTAGTCAGATTGTTGAACTTCCTAAAGGACTGGTACGCCCAAATCTCAAAATTCTTTTACTTGGTGGAGGTAGGAAGATGACAGCTTCAAGTGAATTCTTTGAAGGAATGAAAGCATTAAAAGTTTGTGCTTTGAATTCTAGATTGATATCTCCGGATGCATTTCAGTTTCAAACAAACCTTAGAACTCTACATTTGGAAAGTTGCAAACTCTTGGACATCTCAGTGCTTGGGAAGTTGAAGAAACTTGAGGTTCTTTCATTTAGTCAGTCTGATATCAAAGAATTGCAAGAAGAAATAGGTGATTTGGATAATCTTAAATTGTTGGATTTATCATATTGTGTACAACTACAGAGAATCCCTCCTCGTTTAATACGAAGATTGTCCCAATTAGAAGAACTATACTTGCATGGTTGTGGAGGAATAAAATGGGCCACTGAGCGCACAGTTCAAGAAGAAAGCTATGCCTGTCTATCAGAGTTGGATTCCTTGTCAAACTTGATCGTATTATCTTTAGAGGTTTCTTCTGAACATGTTCCAAGGGACTTTGTGTTCTGTAAATTACAAAGGTTTTATGTATGTGTTGGCTTTGGCTTTGGCTTTTATAATTTTTATCGAAGGAAGGAGAGGGACTCTGAGATCTGCCTATTCTCGAGATCTTTAAAAATTGAGGGGTCTGTAATAGAGGCATGCAAGCAGTTACTTGGGGATACAGAATCTCTTAATCTGAAAAATGTGGTGGGTTTCCAAAATCTTGTTCCAAGCATGGAGTCAGGCCGAGTGGTATTCAATAAGCTGACTTCTGTGGGTCTTGAGAGTTGCGAGACTATGAAATGTCTCATTGATACAACAAAGCAGCAGGAGCTAACCATTGCGTTCTCTAATTTGTTCAAATTATCTTTAAAAGATATGCGTGGTTTGGAAGAGCTATGCAGTGGTCATCAACCGCAAGGGTTTTTGCTAAAATTAAAAACTTTGATTATAGATAAATGCAGGGACATGACATGTGCAATCCCAATTCTACAAAGTCTTGAATGGTTGGAAGTTAATTATTGTGATGAGATGCAAGTGCTATTTCAGATTGCTGAATTGAAGAGCATACAACAAGGACCCAGTCATCATGTAAGCTTACAAAGTTTGAAGGTTGTAAGAATAGATAACTGCAATAAATTTAGATATCTCTTCCCATCGTCTGTTGCTAAAAGTCTTGGGCAACTGGAAACGCTGAACATATCCGACTGCTTGGAATTGGAAGAAATAATTCCCAAAACGGAAGTGACAAACATCAATCTCCAAAGTCTAAGGGAAGTACATGTAAGTGGCTGCAGTAAGTTGACATCTCTTTCCTCATTGTCGCATGGTCAAAGTTTGGAGAATTTGACTACACTTGAGATTATTGATTGCTCTCGATTGGAATATACTTTTCCAATCTCAATGGCTGAAGGTCTTCCGCAGCTGAATAAGGTTACATTGCAAAGATTGGCTGAATTTAAAGGAAGGGATGGAAATGATATTGTACTCATGCTGCCATCTTTACAAGCGTTGGAAATAAGAGAGTGTCCACAATTTATCATTTCGACTAAAATACTGGTAAGCCTATTTATTTGTATTTTTTTTCTTTTACTTTTGCAACTATGCTTGGTTGGACGGAGTGGAAAAGAGTGGAAAGAAAAAAAAATCGATCAAAATTTAATCCTTTTAAATTGGGAGAAAAACATTCTTTTATACTTAATAAAACCTTTTTTTAAATATTTTTTCTTCTAATCCTTTTTCTTTTTTCTTATTGTTTATCTTTGGTAACAAACAATAAAAAAGAAAATTAATCTTCTTTTCTATCATTTGTTTTTGCTTTCCTCACCCTTTTTCCCTTCCTTTATTTTTCTTCCAACCATTAAACATAGTGTTAATGTTGTCAACATAATTTTTTTTTCTTGATAAATTGGTGTTCGAAAAGTTCAAGTCTAAGAGCTACAATATTTAAAAGATAAGATTTTGTATCGCTTTGTATAAAACTAACGTAAACACACTTCTTCGCTACTTAAACAGTGATCATTTAAATATCAGTTGGGGAATTTTAAAATAGCCTTTTTTATTTTACTTTCCTCTATAAGTTTTGTGCAATATTATTTTACTTCCATCTACAATATTATAAAACTCAGTTTTTTTCGTGTACGATTTTTTTAAATGTTTTAAGTTCATCTATTATTCCAATCATTGTTAAAAATTTAATGAAACACAATCTTTTAAAATATTTTAAATTCATCTATTATTTCAATCATTGTTAAAAATTTAATGGATGTGCATATGACATGAATTTTAACTTAAAAAGTCAAAGAACACCATCTTACCACATGCACGGTCACATGGACATATATACACATGATTTGGAGATGATATAGTTTGTCAAATTTTAATCACTGTTTATGGAATTTATGATGAGATAAAAGTGCTATTTCAGATTGCTGAATCGAGGAGCATACAACAAGGACCCAGTTATCATGTAAGCTTACAAAGTTTGAAGGTTGTAACGATAGACAACTGCGATAAATTGAGATATCTCTTCCCAACGTCTGTTGCTGAAAGTCTTGGGCAACTGGAAATGCTGGACATATCCGAATGCTTGGAATTGGAAGAAATAATTCCCAAAACAGAAGTGTCAAACATCAATCTCCAAAATCTAAGGAAAGTATGTGTAAGTGGCTGCAATAACTTGACATCTCTTTCCTCATTGTCTCATGGTCAAATTTTGGAGAAATTGTCAACACTTAGGATTTGGGATTGCTCTCGATTGGAATATACTTTTCCAATCTCAATGGCTGAAGGTCTTCCACAGTTGAATGAGGTTAGATTGGGAAGATTGCCTGAATTAAAAGGAAGGGATGGGAATGACATTGTACTCACGCTGCCATCTTTACAAAAGTTGTATGTGGATGATTGTCCACAATTGACTCCTTTTATCATTTCGGCTAAAATACAGGTAAGCCTATTTATTTGTGGTTTTACACTTTCAACTATACTTTGTAGTAGGAATATAAAGAATGGAAGAATAGATAAGAGAGCTGAAAAAAAATGGGAACTTAATCCATTTAAATTGGGAGAGAAAATTCTTTTTTTCTTAAATAAAACCTTTTTTATAATTTTTTATCTTTGGAAACAAACACTTAGAAAGTAAAATAATTTGACTACATAGTGTTAATGTCGTTGACTAAATTTATTTTCCTGATAAGTTGGTGACTAAAAAGTTTTCAAGTGCTACAATATTTAAAAGATAGATTTTGTATTACTTTGGGTAAAATTAATGCGAATCTACTTCTCCTTACTTAAGTAGTGATAATTAAAATCTCAATTGTGGACTTTTAAGATAGCTGTCACTATTAAAATGCATCAGGTATCAATAAGCTTTGTGCAATATTATTTTACTTAAGTAGTTATTTTAATGTATTAGGAGATTGAGTTTTTAGGAAATATGTAGCTAGGAGACTTCATTTTAAGTTTAATTAATTATTGCATAAAATGCTAAATAGTCATTTCTTCTCATAAAAAAAGCCTTAAATAATTAATATCACAAATGGGTTATTTCTTCTCATAAAAACATAATGTTCGTACTATTTAGCATTATTTATCTATTTTTTAATATAAAATTAGTTTTGATTTTACTAATTACGATTGCAAGTATATAATTTTTTATGAAAATATTAATAAAAAAATTATAATTATATTTAAATGTTTCACTTAAAAAGTAAATAAATTATATATAAGATAAATTTAACATAAAATTAAATTAAATTCATAAATAATAAGATTTAAATTTAAAACATGAAATTTCTGAAAAAAATTTTTACCACTAAATCAATGTTTTATTATTTAAATCAATAAAAAATAATTTAATAAAAAATTATTAAATTGCATTTGTACTAATGAAATGCATTGAAAAAATGCATTTCATATCTTAATGATGATTTTCTGTCTGATTAACCCACTTATCTTAATGCATTATTTTTCAAGTCACTCAAATGAAATATCCAAAAATATCTACAAGATTTTCTAAGTATTCCCTATTGGATTCCGGTTTTCTAAGAATTCCCTATTGCTGGCATAACAGGGGCTACAGAACAATATTACTCTGGTTTTCTAAGGTTTTCCTATCCCTGACATGCATATCAGGGAGTCTAGAAATAGTAGCACAGAAATTTGTTATTTCTTCCCATAAAAACATAAATAATTAATACCATGAACTAAAAAACCCTTAATATCTCCATTTAGCACTATTGAGAGCAGTGTGAGCTTTATTTGGTCAAAACAAAAAACCAAGCTGAACTAGGTGATTTGGCTCAGTTTAGTTTAACGCCAAAAACTTTTTAAACCAAACTGAATTAATAATTTAGTTTTGAGTTAAAAATTAAACCAAATAAAATAATTAATTAAAAGTAATAATATTTTTGTAAATGTTTTAACGCATATAAGAAAATATATTTCTTTAAGCATAATTCTTAGAACAAACTTTATTTCTTAGATATATTGAAAAGCCATATGTACTTTGTGTTTTTAAACGTTTCATATGGATTCATTTTTATTCATGATATAGAACTAATCTTTTCAAAACTGTTGTTTTATATTTTAATTAAATTATTTGTCTTTGATTTAAATTAATGAATTGAGAGTATTTCATTTATAATTATCTTTGTTACTAAATTATAGTTAACCAATCACAATTAAGAATTATGTAGCCACCATTTAAAATGTGGCTTCTAAACAATTTTTTGATGGGCCTTGCACAATAGTAAATTATGTTTAGTTAATTCTACTATAATAATTATAAGAGATATGGTTCTAAATTAAGGATTTTTCTAAATTTTAATTGATTAGAATAAAAAATTTAAGAAATTTAAAATTTAAACTTAATTCACATTAGATTTACTTATATTGGTTGTTTCATTTAATCATGGTTTAAGTGGACCTTTAAAGCAATATATTTAATATAATGATAAGATTGTTAAAATCAAAATTTTATATAGAATTTAAAATAAAGAATAAATAAGTTTTTAGTTATTTTTTATATTTTTTGAATTAATAGTTAAATGATATGATTGCAGGTGTTACAATTTAAGGATATGGGAGAAAAGAAGAAATCATGCAATATGATAGTTCCTAAATTGGGACAAAAATTACCAAACATGGAATATTTGACCATCATTAATTTTGAAGAGTTATTTGATGGTGGATATAATTTTTCAAGTTTGAAGGAACTAATATTGGATGATCTACCTGAATTGCGGGTGGCATGGAAAGATCCCATCCAAGTTGTCAACTTTCAAAACCTCACTAAATTGCACGTCTTTTGTTGCGGAAGGTTAAGATATATCTTATCACCTACCATCGGTCGGAATTTGCCACAATTGAGCTCTTTACGGATATATGAGTGTGAGGAATTGGAGCAAATTTTTGAAAAGGATGGTCAAGCTTCATCACAAGGTCATCATCTCCAACCTATATGCCTCCCTAATCTGACTGAAATAGAGATTCATAAATGCGAAAACTTGAAAAGTCTCTTTCCGATTAGTGTTGCTCATGGCCTTTCAAAACTGCAGAAGTTAATTGTTGAGAACGTCTCCAAATTAGAACAAGTATTTGAACAATCAGGAGATGAGGCAAATGGTAGCGAGGAAAAAGAGAAAGTGATACAGCTACCTTATTTGGGCACCTTACATCTTTCCGAGCTACCAAACCTTGTGAGGTTCAGCCCTGTGGGTTATCATTTCGTATTCCCATCTTTGTATGATTTAACTGTAAGAGGTTGTCCCAATATAACCACAAGCTTTAGTGTTGATTCAGAGCAATCTGGGCATGCCAAAACAGAGGTACGCTACGCTCCCTAACTCTCAATATAAAAGTATCATAAGCTGCCCTGCCTTTTGTCTAGCTGAACTTGGATAAGCTTATGAACAGAGGTTCATCTGTTTTACATTTTTCATGCTTTTATTTCCTCTTTCAGCTTATAAATTGTGCAATATTAATCTCGTCTGTTCAATGGAACATGTTATGGATTTCAATTGAAATTTGTCATCCAAGTGTTTGTTTTAATTCCTAATGAAATTGAAAATGTAATTGGCTGGCAATATTAATTCCCAATTCTATTGGGTGGCAATCTTTCGTATTGGGTTCATTCAATGGTCCTTGGTGCGTTATTATTTCAATTTACTGAATTATACATGCTTCTTGGTCTTCACGTGCCATGCTTTAATTTGTTTTGCAGGCAATCCTATCAATTGATGAAAATATAGTGGAAGAGTCTACTAGAGCTCAACAAAAAACATGGCCAATTGGTAGTGATATAAGCTGGTGTTCTTACATAAAGGTAGCACACTTTTTCAGAGTACGGAGATGAAGAAGTGAATGTGAGTTTGAGAAGATACCAGTAAATGAGGCAGTTGCTAATTTGCTGCAGCATTTCACAAAACTTTGTGCCAACTTCATAGACTTGCAGCCAAAAATTGCGATCATATTAGAACGCTAATTTCTATGAGGGTACATAAGACTGCATTCCTGATTATTTGTCTTTTTTTTATCAGCTAAAAGTTTATAGTTTGCTGTCTTTTCCACTAGCAGACTTGAAAACAAGGATCTTTTAAAACATCAATGTGCACGTTTTAATTGTCTTTGTGTTTCTGTAAGGAAGTCACGTGAAAATTCATCAATTCTGAATTTCAGTTGAATAGCATTTCTTCCTCCCTCTAGACATTAGACAAATCACATACTATTTTGTGGCATAAGAATTGCTATAATAATTCCTTGCATCATAATTTCATACAATTAGATTGATTTTTAATTTTTTGCAAAACAGCTAGTCAAAACTAAGTTTCCTTAGTTGATGTTCTAGAGGTTGCTTTAACTAAAGAAGGGATCTTACTGAGTTAAATACTTACTAGAATACAAATAAATCAAAACAACTAAGTTGATGGAAAATGTTGGACTAAAATGGTATGCGTTTATATGTTCAGCTTAGCAGTCCAAGTCATTTCTTGCAAAAGGAGAATTAATCCTGAAATTAATAGTCAAAACTTAGAGTCCCATATATAGTTTATTTTTATGGGTGTAATTTTATCAATTTATTATATTTGTCATAACATATAGATCTATAAATTTATAGCTAGACTTAACAAATTAAGGAGTTGTTATCAATTTTTTTTATCTAGGTGTTATTAGTTACCTAATAAATCTATCCCTTTAATGAGCTCTTAAGTTTGACGAAGGGTCCTTAAAAGAATATGTATGGATCTACATATCAGAACAAGATTTAGGGGTTTGATTACATGTGAGAAAGGTTATAGCACATTCACATACCCATCCAAAAGAAGGTACCATTTTATTTTAAATTTATTTTAAGGTTTTGAATCTAATGGCTTCAAACTTTTATGTTAAATATTGAAAATAATTTATAAAATTCTTCCACCAATATGGTAGAATTCTTAAAAATATTTTCTTACTTTAAAAGTATTTAAGAATCCTATTTAATTTCTTGAAAAGGCTCCGTCGTCGAAAATATTTTTGTTAGTTTTTTTTTGGGTTTTTTGTCGAAAATATATCTAATTATTCCACAATTTAAGTCAAAATTAGAAATATTTTTTCTTTTTGAATCTCTAAATTTTTCACCATTTGGGCTTATTTAGAAATTCTTTTTATTTCTCCTTTTTTTTTTGAAAAAAAATAATATGACAATTAATTTTATTAAAATTTCATTTAAATTATTCCACTATTTGGAGCAAATTTAAAGAAAAATTTTCACTAAGAGATTTCTAAAAAATTCACCATTTGAGAATTTCTAAGAATCTCATCTTTTGATAATTATTAAATATTTTTAACCTAAATTTTTATTTTATTTTATTTTCTATTTGAAAATAAAATTTAACTATTGTTATTGAAACTTTATCTAAATTATTCCACCATTTGAGATAAATTTAGATGAAATTTCTCACCTAGAAATTTTATAGAAATTTATCACTTAAAATTTCTATAAATTCCATCATTGGATAATTAATATTTATTTTTAAAAAATTTTATTTTTATTTTTTAATTTAATCATGCAAAATAATAAGAAAAGAAAACATATAAAAATATAAAAAATATAAAAAAAAAACAAAAAAAAATGGCTTGGCTGGAGTGGCTAGAATTCAACTCTGCTCGAGGCAGAAACAACAACTTGGGAGATGCAGCTTGGCGGTTCGGCTCGGCTGGAAAGATTGGTTAAGGCATGGGCCAAACGTGGGTCAAAAGCCAGTTACGTTACGGGTTAGGTCACCCAAATAGAAAATGTACGGATCCTAGATCTTCTTAAACACCAAAACGACGTTGTTTTGGGAAAGCTATAAAAGCCCAAGTTCAAGCTTTTTGCCTTTGATCTCCCTTTCCCCTTCTCTCTCTTCTTTTTCTTTTCTTTCCCTGTCTCTCTAGAACTGGATGAACTTTGGTTGAATCTCCATCGGATTTTGAAAAATGTCATAGAAATCTAAGTTAGTTTGTCGAAAGTTCGCCAAAAAATTCAAACCTCACCAGAATCTTCAACGGATTCTGGGAAGCTTGGCCAAAAAATTCAACCGATGTTGAAAAAGTTGCTAAAAAATTTAATCAACACCGAAAAATTCATCGAAAACTAAAAATTTTTGTTGGAATCTAGGAATTTTTCAGATTTTTCCAAAAAAATCCCTTTTTTCCTTGAACCCCAAATTTTCAAAAATTTTTATTGCTTTCTACTTTTTCTGTGATTCTGATTTTTGTTTTCTATTTTCTCTGTGTCTTCTCTCTGTGTAATTCAAGGCTAAATTTATAGGAGAAGTCAAAAGAATTTCTGATTAATTACGACTCTTCTGTTGACATTTATCTTCTTAGAAATTGAACCCAACTACAATTTTGCCAATGCCATTTACGGTAGAATTTTTGCAAAATTAAATATGTTATCTCCTAAAAAACTAATGATAAGTCCAAAAATAATTAAAAAAAAGATAAATAAAAAATTCAAAAATAAATAAGAACGAATGAATAATCAGCTCGAAAATAAAATAATAAAAAAACAAATAATAAAAATAATACAAAAAAGGGCCAATTGGGTCGAAAAACCTGAGCCTTATTGAGCTAGGCTCAATAGATTTGGGCTTAGGTCCAAACCCTGTTGGATCAGGCCCAATGGGCTTGGGCCTGGACTAATTAGGGTGTCTACAATATTTTTATATAATTTTAATCATCTATGGATTAAAATAGAATATTTCATCCAAAGTTTATTTTTTTGTTCTATATTGTTTATATGGAAAATATTTATATTTTATTTTTAAAAAAATTCATAGGATAATATAAATCTGGAAAAATTAAATAGGACAATTTGATTTTTAGTAAAAAAAATTCTGAATTTGTAAAAATTTAAAAAAATTTTAAATTTATTTAGAAAACCAAAGTATATATTTTGAAATTTTATTTTTAATTTAAAATAGAATAGAACTTGAAATTTTTGTATGAATTTTTTTTCTTGATTATCAGCTCGAGCCAAGCTCTCGTGTTGCCTTTTTTTGCTTAATTATATTAAAAATAATTTTTAGTGCTATATGGTGGTGTTGTTGGAATCGAAATTTGCACTATTTTAATTTGTTTTGAGGAACTGGAGAGGAATGCAAGCAATAACTTACGGAAAAAGGGAAAATTAATTACATCAAAGGATCAAAATAAGATGGCTAATAAAGATCCCTTCTTAAGCTCCGATCAAGTATATTCTAATCATTTTTTTAAATTTATAAAAATTTAAATATAAGTTTAAACCCTTTTTTTTCATTTTAATTGGATTGATCAAACTTTAGTTTTCTAATAAGTTTAAACATTTTTCAAAATTTCTATAAGTTTAAAAGTTTTTTCACTAAAAAATAAATTGTCCTATTTTTTGGATTTATATCATTGTACATCAAATTTTTTAAAAAATAAAAATATAAAAAATTTTTCTTCAGTCACCTATTCTAACCTTCCCAAGCTCTTCACTGTTAAATTGACATTATCACATCTTTGTTAAATATTGAATTTTTTTATGATTATAAATTTAAGTGGAATATCCTTCACTTATTCTCAATTGATTTTCACTTAGATGCTTAACATATATTAAAATTTAGATTCTATTCTGTTATTTTTTTCAAGTTTGTCGCAAGGATCCAATAAGAATCCTTGTTAATTGTGTAGCTTGTTTAAATTTGACTATTTAATCTGCTAGCTCCTTGTCGGATAATTGAATTTTCAAAGCTTGCCTTTGACAAATAACAAAGTTATATATGAGCAACTGAAGAACAAATGATCATACAAAAGCATAAAATTAATGAAAATGGAGATGGTGTAAGTTGTTTAAGCTCACTTGATAAGCTAATGACTCGAGCTTAGGCAACTCATGATTGTAATAGATTAAACTGGATGGAGGATGCTTGAATTTTGAGCTTGAACACATTGAAGTAGTTATTGGAACGGCTAATGTGAGAAAATCTCCATCGAAGACCCCATTTTGTCTGATGCTTTTCTTGGACTTTGAATCCAAATTTGATGTTGAACATGAAGGTCCTTCCCTGAAAATGATACAAAGAAAACATAAATGGGGAAATCCTTATACAGAATCTATTATGATAATTTTTCCTTTTAGTACATATGAGAAAGTACAAAGAGAAGTCGTGATTTGCATATTAAACCTCAATACTCATTATGTTTGAGAGATGAAAATTAAAATCAAATCTAAAAATCGAGGTGCCAGTTTTAAAATTGAATGCTCTACCATTACTACTTGAAGCTGCTTCAACTTGTTCATTGATGGAATGAGCAATGGGAGGATATTTGTTGTGAATAGAGCATTGTCTAGAGAGAAGGGATATGATCTCTTCAAGCCAACCACCTACAATTTACGGTAACCAAATTCACATACAAAAAAAGCAACCCTGTTAGGCTGTTACTATTACATAACATCAAGGTCTAAAAGACAAAGAAGCTGCATTCTTAAGACTTCTATAAAGATGAAAAAGAAAGGAAACCTAATTCTTTATAAAACGATCGTATAAATCTAGTTTTTTTTAGGTTAATTCAGCAGGCTCCTTTCCCACTGTGAAAGGTAATGTTTAGAGGCCTCTATAATTAAAAAACAGAAAAAAAAAAAAAAAGGCAAAATGATGTGAAATTCAGACCATAAACCTAATGAATTTCACAAGTAACATCATATTAATTTGTAAATGGAAAGAGATATTAAAAACTAGAATTTATCATTGGATCTAAAATAAGCTATACATGATTGAAGGCAAATACCTTCTCCTCTTCAGGTAATAAAGGTGTACAATTTCCACAATAGCCTTGGTTTGGAGGGGGCTTCGTCTGAAAATTCAGTACAGAAGTTGATGAAGTTCTTGATGACAAATTCACCTACATAAAAAATAGAATTCCATCAATTCACCTAATTCTTTATCAATCAACGTTACCAGAAATGAAGATATACTTTAAAAAATAAATTAAAGATTCCAACTACTACTAGTCACAACACAAAATCAATTTTCTTACCACTGAAGAAGAAGGTTGTTGAAATGGTTGTAACCTTTGAATCGAACTAGGCAAAGCCAAATGGATTCAGATTCGTAAGGCAAAGTCAAATATGTCCTGAAAGCCAATCCAGGGTCCAACCAAGAACACTCTTTTCCAATGTTATACTCACAAGAACAAAATTTTATGACCATTATTAACACTGTCATTCCCTGAAAGTACTGCAGCACCAGGATGCCACCCTGGAGAACCACTGCAGGTCAATGGAACATTGTTTGCTGTACTGACAATATCAATATTTTGAACAAATAAAGGTGTTTAACGAATGAATTTGGTGGTGAAATAAGTTCAGCAGGAAATGGAATTGAAGAAGCAGAAGAAGAAG